AAATTAATTAAAATAAAAATAAAAATAAAAAATTTTTTTCTTTACCTTATTTTCCTTCCATTTTTACAAATTCACATAAATTTTATCATTCGTTCGTTCGTTGTTGAATTATTACTATCGATTAATCGATCGATCGATCGATTGATTTATTTATTTAAAAAAAAAAAAAACCGTTAATTACGATGACTAAATTCGAAAAAAAAAAAAAAAAATTTTCCAAAAAGAAAAAAAAAAATGTGTGTGTGTGAAAAGAAAACTTTTCATATAATTTAACCGGAAGACTAATAAGAATGAGTTTTTAAATTGCGTTTAACCTGTATTTAAAAGTTTATTGTTATCGAACCACGTGATCATTGTATGCATATTCTTATGTTTAATATACCTACCTAAGGTATGCGTGTGTGCGTGCCTGTGTGCGTATAAACATATGTTTGAGAGAGTGTGTGTGTGTGTGTATGTGCGTGTCTGCATCCGTACAACTTACGTTTTTAATTTTTTTTTTTTTCAATTTTTTAAATAAAATTTTTTTTTCCACACTCCCGAATCGTTTTCCTATCTTACGTTTAAAACATTATCATTATCATTTAACCGATTTATAATTAATAAAAATAAAATTATTAATATATAAAAGCAAAAGAAGAAACTTACGTGTGACACTATTTATTAATGAAAAAAAAATTTAATACATAATTTCCGTTTCGTCATCATCATCATCATCATCATCTTCTTCTTCATATTTTTTTTATCTGACATGTCATATTTTATTGGGTCGTTATCTATGAAAATTTATTTTTATATTATTTCCCATTTTTTTATCTAAAAAGATTAGCAAAGTTAAATTTTTATTAAATTTTTTCTTTTTATTAATACATAACCCGTAAAAAAAAAAAATTTAAACAAAAACGACTTATTTAAATTTATAACAAAAAAATAAAAAATATTTTCGATATAACAATCCGCCATTTTGTATTTTTTAAAAAAAATTAATTAATTAATTAATTTTACCTGTATTACGTTTTCAATAAGAAGCAATTAAATAAATAAATAAATTAAAACCGCTAATAAATTAATTTCTATTAAAAAAAACTTGACTTTGATGATGATAATAATAATCGATAAGGATACGTTTTAAGTGTTAGACGACTGACTATTATTGAGATATCTATATGAGAAGCGCCATTATAAATTTGTTTGCACAAATTGTTTAAACAAATCAAAAAAAAAAAAAAAAAACCGTAAGAATCATGATTATTTTATTGCTTTAAAAAAACTTTTCGTTTTCGAAATGTTTAACAAATTTATTTATACGCACACACACACACACAAGCAGACGACATCTTTGTTTTTTTTTTATCAAATAAATAAAAAAAAAAAGCCGCTTTGCAAAGCATCGTATTAAAACAATGATAATGATAATGATGAGGGCAATTAAAACGTAAAAAATTATTACGAAAAAAAAAAAAAAAATAATAATAATAATAAAATAAACGAAAGTACATAATAATATCGTCATAAATTTTTTTTTTTGTTTAAAAACAAACAAATTTGTTTGTTTACATTTGTTATAACAAACGACATAAATACATATTAAATGACTAAAAAAAACAGGTTTTAAATTTTTTTTTAAAAAAAAGCGATGTGTTAAAATTTATTATTATTGTCATTTTAAAAAACAAAACAAATTTTTTTAAAACTATTCCTTATTATTATTATTATTATTTATAACGAATATAAAAAAAATTTAATGGCGTTAAGTTACGTTAAAAAAAAAAAAATTAGACACATTTTTTTTTTTTTTTAAATTAAATAATTTAAATAAAGAAAAATGTATTCATGAACACTACTAATACAACGACGGGCTTTAATTATTATTATTATTATTATTATCATTATCATTATATTGTTTTTAACTCGAAACGATCATTGGAGAGTTATTATAAATTATTATTATTATTATTATTATAAATTATTAACAATAGTTTTTATTCACTCGTTAAACTCTTTTTTTTTTTTTTTTTTTTTAAATCGTGTTTATGAATATTAAAAAAAAAAAAAAATTTCTAATTAAATTCAAGATGGCGTCTTTTTTTGTTTTAAAAAAAAAAAAAAAAGGATTTCATAACAATTTATGAAAAGAAAGTATAATTAGATTGAGTCGAGAGTACTTACATTTTTTTTTTCTGTAAAAAAAAGTATCTTAATATCAAAACAATGTAAATAAATAAATAATTAAGAAAATTAGTTTTGAAACAAAATAATAATTGTTTCAAAACTTTTTTTTCTAATGTTTTGAAACAACAAACAACAAACGTATTTTAATAACAAAAAACAAAAATGATTCGAATGTTGAGTTCTATAATGATGAAAATTTGTTTATCATTTTATTTATTTAAATAATTTTATTAGTTTTAATCATTGCAATTAATTTTTAATAACTTTTAAATTAATATAAATAAATAAATAAATTTTTGTTTTTTCTTTCGTATTTTACTTTTTAAAATAAATTTAAAAAAAAAAAAAAAATCCGTTGGATAAAATTATTTTATATAAAAAAAAAAAAAGAAAAAAAAATTTATTTTATTTTATGAATTTCCCAAAAGACTTTCTTTCATCATTTTTTTTTTCAAAATTTCTAAGGTCAAAGGTTACAAATAGGAATATAAAAATAAGATTTTTTTTTTTTTTTGTTATAAAACCACGTGATTGTTTTTTTTTCTAAAATATTTAAAATTCAAAAAAAAAAAAAAAATTAAAATGAATCATTTAATGACTTTGTTAAAAAATTTTTTTTTTTAATGGACAACGGTCTGTTTCACTTTATTTATACATAACTTATTGGTTTTTTTTATTTATTAAAATAATAATAATAATAATAATAATAATAATAATAATATAA